TACATATAGTATATATACAAATCAAAATACTATTGCAATAAGTTTTATTATAAATAATTTTATTAATTTATTAATGAAATACGAAACTATTGTTATTATTATACACATATTTGCCATTCTAACTGTTATTCTTAATTTTTGTGAATTATATTTTTCTTACATAGAATGGAATATGTCACTTTCTTTAAATTAAAACACTGGCTCATTAAAAAGTATTAAGACATATCTCTAATACGAGCTATGGTTCTTATAGGAATACATAATAAGAAAACGCAACTAGAACACGCAATTCACAATGCGGGTTACTGGGCAAATCTTGGTATGCATGTTTTACATTATGTACTACGCCACACTAGTTTGAAGAGATAAATATACCTTTACAGAAATTATGGAGAAACTCTTTTGTCTAAATGATTTTTTGTAGCGAGTTTTTTGTGCATTGTTTAGATTCATCTTAATTTTTCTATTGATCTCTTTCTTTCTCTCTCTCTCTCACACAGAATAAAAATTCATCGTTCAAGTAAAGCGCGCTTGTGTTTCGTGTAGATTATACATATACATATGTATTAATCGATGTATACTAGGTCTTTCTATACTATATATGGTACAAACGTCAATGTTCGCCGTGTTTTAAAGGTCAATAGAGTTTTAAAGTAAACATTTGCGTACTTTACTCATTTTATTAAAACTTTTGTTAAGTGTGTCAACATTAATCATTCAATATCGTTATCTTTAGTGATGTAATAAATCTTTCATTAAAGAGCATCAGTTATATATAGATTATAATATATTTTATAATTTCCTCTTTATAAACCAATACAGTTAGTATACGATGTAAATTTCGGGAATTAAAATTCTGAATTTTAATCTTAATTTAAAATTATACCATTTCATGAATTGCTTCATTTTTATATAATATTTATGTAATATTTACTTAATATTTAATTTGTTCTGAAAACAATAAATATAGATAATACAATCTATTTTGTAATGTAAAATATTATCGTGTATAATTGTTGAGAATTTTCGACGCGGCGTTGAGAATTTCGACAAATCGTGTTACATGAAAGTGAAAGCATTCAGGTTCTTGATCGTCGACTTTAAGGGAATAAACCGCGTTGGACATGCCTGCTTAAAACGATTACACGAGTGACCGATCGGTGGTGAGGAACAAACACACCATCCAGCAGCCAATGCAGTCTCTCACGTATTCGCTACCCTTCAACCCCTTTCTCCTCTCTTATCGTGTTGCTCCTTTTCTCATCTTCCCTGCCCGACGTGGCACGTTCCCAGCGTCTCGTCGAGCTAGAATTCTCGCTCCGTTTACTTTGCGCGACGAAGAGGCTGACCTCGGCAGTTTACAACGTGCGCACATTAACACGTCCCACGATGTCGAGGCAAAACGATTTCTAAAATGCAATTGACATCTACAGATGCATCGATCGTTCTTTTTATTTCTTTAAGTAATATTATTAGAAAATGTAAAATTTAACACATTTAATATATTCCACAATTTAACACATTTTCCAAACACATATCGCATACATTTATATAAACAAATAGGTTAATCCATAGGACAAACTATGCGTATTTAGGACCTTAGATTAGAGTTTACGCACATATAATATTTAGTTACATAAATTTACATCTGATTGCAACACTTAATTTGAATAATATATGTATATGTAGCATATGTATGTGCATCATGGTTGAATATATGCATCATGTATGTCCTACATATTGTAGAATAATAACAAAGAAAAGAAAAACAAGAGTACAATATAACGAGAGACTACAGTGAAGAAGAAAAAAAAAGAATAATATTCCAGACACACACAATACAAGTCTAAAATTGGAGTAAAAGAATGTCTTTTAGATGTCTTTTAGACAGTTCACACAAATATATCTTTAAGATACCTTAAGATTTACATACGTTATGATTTTAAACACCTTATCATTTGGGATATGAATATTATTAGGACGTATTTTTATAAGAATATTCGTTTAGAATCGATCGAATTAACTAAAAAGTAATTACATCAATTTGACGTGTTTTAGCGACTGATTTAATTAATTTTTTTAATGAAAAGCTAAAAAAGAAAAAATTCTCTAATTGAAAGTATTCGAATTATTTGAGTACATTAAATGTGAAAGAATTATTAAATTTTTCATATTAATTTCCGTTTTAAGTATTTATTTGCACGTCTATGATAAACATACAATATGCTAATGTCACGTGTTTACGCATGGATATCGGATAGTACTGAATGGAGATCTATTAAAGTGAAATCGATCAGTGCGTCACAATACGACGACGAATATAATATACATGCTTTATAGTTTGTGAGATAAAAAACAAAATAATAATAATAATATGGTATTGCTCTTGCAGTCAATAGCTTTTACGAAGTTTTATGTAGGTACATACACGCGTAGGTTTATTGTATGTCATTAGATAAATCATGTAAAAATTGCGTAGATTTATGTTATTATCAAATATTTTTAACCAATTTTCTTTTATTTTTATGTAGAATACCATTATATGCAAGACACATCAAAAATATATTATTCTTACTAATATGTAATTTTTATTTGCATTTCAATAAATCTATTAAGTAAAATTATTTGTATTCTAATTGTAAGATTTTTGCTTTGGCACAATTAAATATATTTATATAGTTAAACATATAATTTACATGCCTAAAAATATTTATAATAATAATAATTATTTAACTATATAAGTTAATTTTTTAAAATGAATTAAAAATATCTTATTTCTTTTACTTGCTTAATTGGAAAGAAGAATAAGAGAGATAATGTAAAAACTTTATAAGGTATATGAAGTATGAGATTTGATGATTAAAATTGTGCACTTCAGTATATTACTAGAATATTTGATTTTCAATCTTAATGACGATGGTGATAACCGCAATTACAAATATGTTTTTATCCTATATGCATATATTAAGAAAAGTTATTTCACTGTGGAAAGAAACTAAAGTTACATTAGGTATATGGCATAATTTGCATACAGATAGAATAGTTACATTAGGTATATGGCATAATTTGCACACAGATAGAAAAAAAGTTTATATTATCAAGATGTAATATATATATTTAATATAGTAATCTGTATTTAAATATTTCTATTCGATCTCGAAAGAATGTCAGTAAATCAGAGAGGTAGAAAATTTTATTATATATAAGAATTTAAAATACGTTCTTAATTTACAGCGGGAATGTACCTTTCCCATTTCTCGATACCTACTTATATCGATATTCTTTGGTCTCGTCGTGCACAAGATGCTTTGAGAAAAGCAAGCCTTTATCCTATCCTTCGCTAATTATAGTCTCCGCTTTGAAGAGTAGCGGCAATTTTAAACCTTATAAAATTGAATAATCTTTCGAGAGAAGCAAGTAAGAACAGAATTATACAAACGTCGTTTTTTCGGTTATATTTATGTTTGGCACAAGTTAAATCCACTTTAAAAGTAATTGATTATTTCCATGGACGTACATTTCATTCCATATTAGTCAGGTGCTTCTTCATAAGTCCTGATTTTACATTTCTATTAATATTGTGTTCAATACATTTCTTGAAACGTTTCCCCGATTCAACCTGAGGGTATTTTCTTTTAAGATCTCAAAATCGATTTTGCTTCCTTCTGTATTTCCGCTTTTATTTTACACGTTCCATATCTCATGTAAACATTATTTTCTCGCAATACGATTTTCTTATATGATATATTCTTGCGCGTAACATAATATATCATATGAAAAGCGTACTTTGAGCTCCTCATATCTCCTTTTTGGACATAGACAAAATATTTCTATTTATGCCTGCGTTGTGCTTATATTGTTAGCTAGATTTATTGTGACAAATTGTTATGCAAATAAGAAATTTAATCACTCATTTAGAATTAAATTTTCTTTAATAGTTTAAAAAAAATTTAATAATTTTGCCTACAATTAATAAATTAAATTAATCTCTCAAATACTATTTGTTTATTATTTCTTATTCTATGTTTCAAACACTAATTAATAGTAAATATGCGGGTGGAATTAGTATTATTTGAATGTTTGAGTGTTTTATTCGACAAATCGTTAGTCCCGACTGGGTTCTTAATGAACAATCAAGTGTGGTTACGTGACACGTCAATAAATTAGTTTGACCTGATATAGCTTGATTTTCGTGTATGTACATGCAAAGACACAACAACAAGAATAATACAACATCCGGCGCTCGACTATATCTTATCATATGGAAATTTAATGGGCATCCACGTTTTTAACTCGGAAGTAGTCACCATTGATTTTTTTACATAAACAATCACCTGAAGGTTTTTTCTGTCTTAATTACAATAATTATTATTAAAAACAAATTGTATATTAATGATTGTTTTTCGGTTTATTAATATTTGAGAACATTATGGATATGTATTTAATCACAATTTTCTGAAAAAAGTTAGCGGAAACCAAATAAATATTAAACAAAATAACACGTTAAGTAGTTTATTATGATAATATTTAAAAAAAGAGTAAAAACTTAAATTAATATACGCTTTTTTATGCGAGTTTTTTTGATAAAATTGTATATTTAAAGGTTCGTAAAGAATAATAAAAGAAAGAGAATATTTTAAACAATATACAGATATATAGAAAACAATATTTGGCAACAATTTACATTTTTTGCTGCTGATGTGTAAAATGCTTCTGGATATCGATCATCTTTCTCGGTATCGGTTACTTTTTCACAGAAATGTTATTGAACAAAAACACGAAAAAAGTAAAAATTTATAATATTTGTATGTATATACAGGTACGAATACATATAAAAAATTTCATTTTTCATGTTTCCGCTATAGGGAAAAAGTTACATGATCGATATTCATATATTTCTAAGTTAAGATACTCTGTATATAAAATATAAAATTAAAGAAAAATGATTATGTAATAAATATATTTTTACAAATACTAACTACATCCTCGATATGTTTTAGAATGCTTTTTAGTTCGATTCTTTTCCTGGTAGTCTGGACTAGTTCGTCATTCGCAGAGGAATCCTCCAATGATGCCGCGTCTGCCAAACGAGCGCCCATGGGATTTCAAGGTATGCGCGGGAAAAAGGACCTCATCCCTACGGTCGCAGAACACAATGAGCTTTCTAAAAGAACGTTAGTGAATTTTCAGGTAAGCTATTATCCAACTTTTTTAATAGAATTGACGTACGAGAAGAAGAAGGAAAATTTAATTTTATGTGTTTAGTTTATTATTTTCTAAATTATTTATGAGATAAAGAGATTCCGATAATCACAGGATAAGGATTCAAGCCCGTCCGAAATTGAGGACAATCTTCTGCACGATGAGTTTGACAAAAGAGCACCGAAGGGATTTCAGGGTATGAGGGGGAAAAAGGATTATTTGATACCTGATTTTGAAGACTCCTACTTCCTTGAGGATTACGACAAAAGAGCGCCAATGGGTTTTCAGGGTATGAGAGGCAAGAAGGCTATATTAGAAAACGAATATTATAAACGTGCACTCATGGGATTTCAAGGAATGAGAGGGAAGAAATCTTTGGAGGAGGTAAGTGTGAATATTCAGTGATTAATTGAATTATTATGCTGTAAAGGCTCAGGGCGATAATAAATCAACACTAACAACTTGTAAGAATCTTATGAAATTGTTTACAAAATAGATGTCATAAATTATTGAACTATTCTGCTTTTTCTTCTTTAGTTTTCTCTATTCACATGATTAGTTTATCTTTCTTAAATATAAATGTAATCATTATAAAAAGATTCTTGGTCATTTAAACGTTTTAAATAGCAAGTTAATGTATATTAAATTAATAGATTTTAATTTACCTAAAACTTAGTCGTCGTTGTTTATACTTTATTTGACTAAAAAGTACTAAACTACAGGTGCTGAATGAAATTGAAAAGAGAGCTGCGATGGGCTTTTATGGTACTAGAGGCAAAAAAACATATGTTTTCGAGTTTCCACAAGATTATCAAAAGAGACTTTTAGCAATGGAATTTCAAGATATGCACAATAAAATAAAAGAAGAATGGGAAAAAAGGGCTCCTATGGGATTTCAGGGGATGAGAGGCAAAAAAGCATTGTACGATGAGATAGAAGAACTTGAGAAAAGAGCCCTTATGGGTTTTCAGGTAAGTTAATTGCTTAATCAGTTCTGGAAACATAAATTTTTTCTATCTAATTGAATATATTTAACTTTCAATATAATTGATAAGAAACATTTAGTTAAAAAAACATTAAAAGTTAAGAAAAAGGAATGTTTTTAATAATTATTTAATTAATTAATAAATTGTTTTAGGGCATGAGAGGCAAGAAAGACGGCTTTGAAAATTACATAGATTATTACATAGATGATCCCGACATAGATTTCGACAAGAGGGCACCAATGGGTTTTCAAGGGATGAGAGGCAAGAAAGACACCGATAAGAGAGCACCGATGGGTTTTCAAGGTATGCGAGGCAAGAGGAGTGTAGGACAAAGATTTGAGCCCAGCATGAATTTTGGATCATTAAACGAATACCAAGGTAGGATCATACGCTTACATTCTATATTTATGATAATTGAAAAAAAAAAGAAACATTTGAATATTATTATAATTAACATTTGTTAGTTATATTATTTTTCATAAAACATTCACAACTCTACAATTATTAATGACTTACAAAATAGTTTATTTGTAAGAAAGATTTGATTAATAACTTATAAAATAATTGAGTTAATTACTTCGAAACTTATGTGAGCTCTAGTTTCATAAATCTTGCTATAATCATTATAATATGTAAATATGTCAAAACTTGTGTTATCTTTAGTACAAATTTTAATATGAAAAATGATTCATGCAGAAAGTTACAAATTTCTCTTTTTATACGAGAGGTTTTGAGAAGCTGGAGACACAATTGCTCGCGATATTAACCCTTGAACACCACATTATTTTCGCCACCTGATTTCATTACACATGGGTTACGGTAACCCTGGAGTCTTCTTTTGCTTTTATCTCAGAATTTAATGCATCAATTTTAACTTCTTTTTTTTTTAATCGATACAACAGACAGTAAGGAAAAAGAATATATAGATAAGAATATCGAAAACCAAGATATTTTGAAAAAAAGGAAGAAAAAAATTTCAAAATTAAAAAAAATCGTTGTTTTTTAAATAAATTAGTTATTTTCCAAAAAAAATGATACAAGGTTTTAATATACAGAAATCGAAACATATTAAGTTGTATTTTAAGAAAAAAAAATACATTATTACGAATTATCCTAAAAAATATATTTATTCTATGAGGTTGAATTTGGGTAATTTTCAAGTAATACGATAAAGTTAGTGCAAAAGTCTTTATTATATGACATCTAAATATACAAATGAAATTATTCATTGATTTGCGTGGAACAAGCGAAACAAATTTTTGCGACATATTCTCTACACATTAGCTGTTGTCATTGCAAGCACATGTAATAAGTTTTCCTATCTAAAGCCCCTGGACAGAATGATCATCTTTGTTTTTCTATTTTGTTTACAGCTAATATATCGCGCGAATCTTGATTTTCTGGAATGTCAATGTGTTTCATGAATTCTTCGATTTGAATTCGCATTTGAATTTGATCTTGTTCGTATATTTACTTACAATTTGATTTCGAAATAAAAAACGTAATAACCACACAGAGTTAGCGTAACCCACACAATAAGTTCATGGCGTTCTATCTCGACTGGTTTGTGCACGCTGAGGTTGCCAGGCGAGGGATTTGTAGTAGGGATGCGAAAGTTTTTCCCCCCCTTGTTCCCACTCCACACTTCTGATCGTTCATAAACGCCACGCGTTTTTTCAAACGGACTAGGTTACCGTAACCCACGGTGGTGTTCAAGGGTTAAAACGAAATAAAAATTATTTGCGTACGGGAGTAGTTTTTATCAGTGTATGTTTGATTAAATGTAAGAATGGAAAGAATACGGGCTTTAGGAGTCAGGCGCAGAAGACGTCGCTCAAATAATACGCTTATAAAGCTTGAAACTTTTTTATTTAACAAACACGCTTACATGTTTCGGCTCATTTTTGAGCCCTCCTCAGAGCAAACACAAATCAACATACCTACACAAAGTAAAAGTTATTCTATCATAGTGAGCTCCCCTACATCGAGAATTAGATAAAAAGAAAGAAAAGGAAAATGAAAAAGAAGGGAAATATTTAAAATGTCGAATTAAAGAATATAGAAACTAATTTATCAAAAAACTTTAATCATATATAATTAATTATCCCGAAAATAGGGACGCTCACCACGATTACAAAGTACCGTATCGCAAATATTATTATGAATAATTCAAGAACCGGTTCCTGATATGTTGGCCAGTCGATATCAGACAGAGTGAGTAACTTTTTAGTTATTAGCTAGTATTAATGAAAATTGTAAAAAATCTCGTCAGAAGGACTTATTTACTGTATACGAACGACACCGACTGACAAGACGTGACAACAACTCGAGCTTTTATAATTTATCTATAATCGGGAGGTAGTCCTTTGGTAGGCCTAATTCTGGTATTTAAATTCTCCTTCGATGTAGGGGAGCTCACCATGACAGAATAACTTTTACTTTGTATATGTTGATTTGTGTTTACTCTGAGGAGGGCTCAAAAATGAGCCGAAACATGTAAGCGCGTTTGTTAAATAAAGAAGTTTCAACCTTCATTAGTGTATTATTTGAACGACTTCTTCTGCGCCTGACTCCTAAAGCCCGTATTCTTTCCAATTCTTTGATTTATAAGGAGTCTTGGTTAGTTTGATTTGTTATACGAATTGATTAAATGTGAAAAATATTTTCTATCACTTTTATCGCGCACTCTAGAGTGTCTACTCATACTTTTTGAATGCCCCTTATAACATTACTAGACGATATAATCGATCGAGTCTAAGTGGAACGTAACGAAGGCTTCCCAAATATTTGTCTATTATTCATGCACCTCCGAACAAACCCTGTAATGAAAAGGTAGACAATTTTTTTTATTTTTTTTTTTTATACTGTCCTTATACGCCGTGCAATTTTGAGGTTGAAATGGTCACATTGGCCCACGTTGTGTTTCCCCCGAGCAGGAATGGGCAATAGAAGACACATTCTAGCCTCGTGCCAAGTCGAAAAACGATCACCTTTCCGATATTTTGAGATGCGCGGTAAGAAAAATCCACGATGGGAGTTACGGGGGATGTTTGTGGGGGTGAGAGGCAAAAAATGGGCGAATGCCCCGTACGAGGACAACGGCCCATTCATAAGGGTGCTTGATAACACCGAGAGGATCGGCATGGATGGGGACTCGCCGACAACATTAGGTAATCGATTGGCCGACAGCCAATTGGTATCAAACATTTAGTCGCAGTTCTCTTTATCGCTTCGTTTATCTTTCATGCGTATTTAATGGCTAAATATGCTTGTAGTATTTATCAAATGTCAAGCAGTTTATCAGAATGTACAGAAAGAAAAAGTAAATGTTATCTCTTTTCACACAAACGTTCTTCAAAACATCTTCTTGAACGCATTTTAAATGCAGCATATCATTCTCAGAAATCTTTGCTAAATATTATACACTCTTCTATGTATTTACTTTGCATGCGACACATCGAGCACATTTAAATGTACTCAGTACTTGTAATATGTGTCGATATATTTTACTCTAACTGTAATAATTATTTTTATCCACGCTGTTGAATTCAACACTTCTTTATGATCAACACTTATAATCGCCCGTTCACGAATTATTCCGCGCTATTAATGTTGTAAAAAATTTTTTTTTCCTTGTATACGATGCCAAGTGACATTTAAAACAAAGCTGTGGATTATCTTACTCGCAACTACGAGACAATACCGACGCAAGGGTCCGCTTTAAAACTTTCTCTGTCGCGCATATTGTCATCGAGAAGTTGCTCACTATTGTGTACACGATTGCACGAAATAATGATAAATTCTGCATTGTAACTTTGGGATGACAGACTGACTGGTTGTAAGAATCAATTATCTACTTACAATTCAATTATCTAACAACTAATCATTAATACTAAAATGTGTAAACATTTCATTAATTTCGGATTGCACTTTCTATTAATTTAGCTAGTTTATTTTAATTTTTATTAAAAAGAGGTGATAACAAGAACCAAATAGTAATTTTTTTTTAAAAGTGCAAATGCCATCTTAAGCAATTTATTTATAATTGCGCATACTTTTTTATACCTCTGTGAAGTTAGCACCTCATTTTTAAAAAAATCAATTTTTCGTTAGA